TCGCCCATTTGGAAAGGGCCTTATAAAATCGTTAAAACAAATGGTAAACATAACGTCACCTTATCTATAAATAGAAAACATGTAAAGTATCATACAAACGAGATAAAACCAGCTCAATTATAATTACGTACTTATTATATTTTTATTCTATTTCTTTTCAGAACGTTATGGCACCTGAGCTATGCCACATCCTTCATCACGCCCATAGCTCATAGTCCAGGGATTTATTATGATCCCATAACAAACGTATATTTTTAATATGACTATTGGAAAATTGTTTCTTTTATCGATGTAGTATCTGTAGAGCCTCATCTCGACAATATTGAAAATTCTCTAAGAAAAATTCTAGATATCTGCATCCAGTCGAGATTGACAGAATATATACAATGTAAAGATGTTATCAGCCCAATCGAAGTATTGTTACAATCTAACTATTTAAAATTAAATTCCTTATCTCATAATATTGGTACAGACTCACCCAACCGCTCTAAGAGGTCTCTAGAGTTCGGTGGAGAAATTTTAAAATTCTTTTTCGGTACATTAGATGCCGATGATGCCCGAAAATATGATGCTGCTATTAAAGCATCCCAAAACAGTGAAACAGAGTTATTTCACCTTATAAAAGAAAATATTCACGTTGTAAAATCTACTATAAATGCATTCAATTCGACAGTATCTAGATTAAATAAAAATGAGTTTCGTTTAAATTCACAAATTAATGACCTTAACGAGATTTTATCTCAAGCTACCAAGAATAATAATCAACTTGTATATATATCGAAAGTTAATAATTTAGTTAATATCTTAGAAAGTTCATCATTGACTATCTCTAATTTCTTAGATTCTATTTTAAATGCTATTTTGTTTGCCAAGGCAAATATTCTTCACCCTGTGGTGATAACGCCTACTAATTTGCTAAAAGAACTCATAAAAACAGTAACGTAATGAGTAAAAGATTAGGTTTTCCTGTTCCTCTAAATATTGAAACTATACATACTATTATAGACGTTTCTAAATTAACGTCATATTATTATAATAAGAAAATTGTATTTGTATTACAAATTCCTCTAACCTCTCCCGTCAAATATTCTATTTATAAATTAATTCCTTTGCCTACACCCTCAGATAACGACAACTTAAACGTTTTTGCTCTTATTCATCCTAGTAAGCCTTATCTTGCTATTTCCGACGATAGGCAAATTTATGCACTTTTAGATGATATCAGGGATTGTTATAAAATAAATAACGATTACAGTATTTGTCAATCGCAATCTATAACACTTTTATCGTCGAATACGAATCCTTCTTGTGAATCTAAACTATTAACAGATGTTGTTTTATCTTTACCAAAAGAATGTACTTCCAAATTATATGGTCAAATAAATATTTGGCAAAAACTCCATGATGACAGATGGATATTTGTGCAGTCGCAATTAAATAAATTGACAATAAAATGTAACGAGGATATCAAAGACTATCCCATTCAAGGTACCGGGATATTAGAATTGCATCCTGATTGTGTCGGTTATTCTAAAACTTTACAGTTCTTCCCATCTACCACTATGTCGTTCAATTATAATAATCAACTCTTCATAGACTTTGATATCACTCAAGACGACTGTTGTAAAAAGGACATAATTAATAAAACGATTCCTTTACTTTCTCCGTTATCTCTTAACAATATCGATTTAGATACATTGGCCCATGCTTCTCGACATTTAGATGATCTTGAAAATAATATAAACCAATTTCAACAGGAATCGCATTTTATTAAGTATGGAACATACTATTCCGCTTTTACTTATTTTCTAATTGTAGTTATAATTTTATTTTTAATTTATAAGGCATACAGATGTTTTTCTCGGAAAGGAATTCATTCATCTTCTTGCATACAGATATTTAATCAGTGTAACAATAATAAAAATGTAAAGCGTCAAACAAAATTTGCTAACTCCATAGAATTAACAGATGTCTCTAACTCTGATGAAGATAAGCAGTCAGTTAAATCCTTACCTGCTTGTCAAACCGATTGTAAACCTTATAGCAGTAGACATAAAGATAAGTTTATTAGTTCTAGTTCCAGAAAGGAGATTGCTCAGCTTCCATACATGTTTGGCCTAAAAACCAATAACCATGAAAAATTGTTTCCTACATTCGAAATTATATATAAATTACCGTAGAAACGAATATTATCGACGGCCACTCCTGAGAACTTCTATGAGCCATATACACTGAATGATTTTGAGGTTATGTTTGCAAATAGGCACATAGGTATTAGAATAATAAAAACAAAATAACTTATATAGGAAAATAGGGCAATCAAGCCAAGTACCGATATTATGTATTAGATTCAGGTATATAGAGCATGTAAAATACTGTTATTTGTATATGTGCATGTTTTTAAAAACACGAACAGAAACTGTGTAATGATTGTGAATGAGCCACAGATTAGAGAGAATTTTTAAACTCTCGTTAATCAAAGAAAGCTAAGAGCTGTAGGTTATACAGCCATATCTTCAGCAGCTTCATTATTTTTATTATGTTTTTATTATAACCATATTTTAGATTTTTAGTGTATCACACCTTATAATGTGTTTATTTAGGTGTTTGGCAAAAAATGTACGGCAATAGACTTTATGATGTCGCCTACCATCTATATAAATTGTCTTAGCACATTTGCATGTCGTAAAAATGATAATAAAGTTGTGGATATTAATACCACCCGTGTAATAAAAAAAATATATATTTTATCAATCTTTACAAAATAGATTTGTTTTGATGTTATATAAACAACCTGGATCAGTCTTTGTGAATGTTATTACACCCATAGCCAATAAAAATGATTCGTATGTTTTCCAAACCGGTAAAAATAGAAGTCCTTTTTTAAAAATTAATATATTATTTAAAGGTGGCCGTTAAAATCTAATGACTGTAAAATAAAGTATAATTACGCCAAGAATTACTGTATATGTCAATATTTTATTTGCATTTAGGCCAATTTGACCAATCTCCTTTGAATTTTTAATATTTTTACATTTTTATAATTATCTTACTAAACCTTGTTCATCTAACGAGATGAGATCTTAGTTCTAACCTTGATTATTATGACTTTGTTACTTAGAGTAATATTATTGGGAATCATTTTATTGTATTTTTATATGTTTTATAATGTACAACTGTTTACCAAATCCTGAAGCTGTCTCTTATCATTGATTATTTTTATAACTCCGCTTCATCCTAATTTTCGATAAAGCTCCGTTAAAAGGGGGGAGTTGTTATAACCCGACTTAGTAACCATAGAATGCTAATTCAACAAAACGTGTATAACTGTAATTTTCCATAGAATTAAACTGCAGAGTTGCATTAACGCAGCCCTCACATTATTCCATCAATTCCCACAGTGCAGTTAGACTTTGGCAACGGGAAAGAACGGTCCATCCGGGTAGCTCAGGACTTGGTACTCGAGTTCGCGTGTGTAATTGTGTATATCAAAAATCATTAAATTCATATCCGGAATTTTGGGTTTTTTTTAAAAAGACGATCAGCGCCGGCCGCCTAACAGTACGATGACCACGGGTATCCACCCATGGGTGGCTTGATACCAACAAGACACACATCAATCAATATGTCATTTCCCACAGTAAGTGGAAATAGGCATACAATATGCAAGAAGGTATGGAATCCAAGTATCGAATTTAATGCTACAACCAGGCCGATGACATCATTTAAGCAGGCGATCTAAGTTGGATGTTATCTTCTCAAGAACGTAACGAAGCTGGTAGGTTACAGCCTAGTACAGATTGGTTGGTGGTAACGATTGCAGATGTAGCCGGGACCAAGGACTTAATGTTCCGGAGCATCAAATAGTAAATTTTTGGTCTTGAGGGAGGGGATGAGTCCTATGAATGCGTTAACAAATGCGACATAGACTCTTTATCCTCTTTTATTTACTCAGCATCAGATGTTATGAAATAGCCAATGCGAAACATGCATAACTTCCATGGTCGCTGACTGAACGCAAAAACCCTGCGCCACCGAATTACTTATTTCCTATAGTAACCTACCTACAAAGAATAAGCATGGTTACCGTGTAACAGCAATCTGGTCCTCAATCTCGAAGGTGCTTATCCTCCTGTTGATGGTGTTGTTGACGCTGCACAGGCCCGAGCCGCACCCGTCGATGTGGGTGACGGTGATAGCTAAACGGTCCTACTTACTAACCTACAAAGAAAATGCATGAGCACCTTGTGACAGCTCTCTGGTCCTCAATATCGGAGGTGCGTAGCCTTCTGTTGACGGCGAACATATTGTCGATGCCCCGCAGGCCGACGCCGCACCCGTCGATATGTGCGACGGCATTACCGTAACGGTCCTACTTACTAACATACACAGAAAAAGCATGAGTACCTTGTGACAGCTATCTGGTCCTTAATATCAAAGGCGCCGAGCCTCCTGTTGATGGCGAACATGTTGTTGACGTCGCACAGGTCCGAGCCGCACCCGTTGATGTGTGCGACGGCATTACCTTAACGGTCCTTCTTACTAACATACAAAGAAAAGGCATGAGTACCTTGTGACAACTGTCTGATCTTCAATTTCGAAGGTGCCGAGGTTCTTGTTGACGGCGAACCTGTTGTCGACGATGCGCGTGCCCGACCCATGTCCGATGAAATGTGCGACGGTGATACCTTAACGGTCCTTCTTACTAACATACAAAGAAAAGGCATGAGTACCTTGTGGCATCTACCTGGTTCTCAATCGCCAAGGAGCCAAGCCTCCTGTTGATGGCGAACATGTTGTCGACGCCTCACATGTCCGAGCCGCACCCGTCGATGTGTACGTCGGCGATAGCTTAACGGTCCTACTTACTAACCTACAAAGAAAATGCATAAGCACCTTGTGACAGCTATCTGCTACAGGTCCTCAATATCGAAGGTGCCTAGCCTTCTGTTGACGGCGAACATATTGTCGATGCAACATACAAAGAAAGGCATGAGTACCTTGTGACAGCTATCTGGTCCTCAATCTCGAAGGTGCCAAGCTTCCTGTTGATGGCGAACATGTTTTCGACGCCGCGCAGGCCTGAGCCGCGCCCATCGATGTGAGCGACAGCGATGCCCCAACGGTCCACCAATGATGAGCCCCAGTCGATGCTCCACTGCTTAGTCACAAAGGCTGTGTCAGGACCACCGTATCTATGTAAACATATCATAATATCATATCGTATCATAATATCGTAAATTACATAACATATTTAAGATAACATTTACCGTTTTTATTAAAACGCACACAAGGTGGTAAAGGGCTTCATTTTTGTTGAGACTGAAATACACTCCCTGACACCTAAATCGAGCCATCTTGATTTTTTTGGTTTGGAGTACTGTAACTTATAAAAGATGTATATAGAAGGATAATGTTTGATGCAGTTTTGGAGCTGGTATACTCATCATTCATTTAGAGTGCCACTGGTCTAAATTTGAACTACAGTTTATTAAAAAAGTCGAAGTTTCGTTGAAACAAGTCCATATTTGCTTTTTTAAAGGAAAAAAATCTAATCGATTTTTAAATAAAGACATGTTTTACATAATAATAATAATTTTTTTGCGTCATAAATATTGTTTACAATCATGAGGTACATTTGGTGGCTATCCAATTATCACTAGCAGGAGCTCAAGTTGTTGGAACACTAGCTACCTTACTAAGTTGACAAGACAACTTGTATTAAGGGAGCCAGGCTCGACCCATGTGTTGGCTGAGTTTACAATTGGCAGTTACAGGTCACTGATATGATTGCTTCAGTAAAAATATTAAATTTAATTAAGTGAGGTTTGAGTTAAATAAATCTAAGGATAAAACAAAACTAATTGTAGAATGCATGTAGGTGTATATGTGAGTGTATGTGTGAGTGCTTGTGTTACTGTGTGTATGTGTGAGTGTGTGCGTGTGTGAGTGTGTGTGTTTGTGTGAGTGTATGTGTGTGTGTGTGTGCATTGTTTGTCGATTTGTTGCGTCGAAAACCGAACTGATTTGAAGAGAGGAGTTTTTTATCTTCCAGATATTTACGAATTCTTTTGTTGATAAGGCGTTCTAGAATTTTAGAAATGCAAGGTAACAGAGCAATAGGCCGATAATTATTAATGCAAGTTTTGTCGCCAGACTTGTATATCGGATGGATAATCGCCCTCTTAAAGTATCGAGGGAAAATGCCTGAACTAAGACAGAGATTGAAGATATGTGTAAGAAGTGGGACAAGTATCTGTTTGTAGCGTTTGAGAAGCTTGGTAGGTATGCTGTCCCAACCCACCGCAGAGTCAGTTTTTAAAGACATTATTTAATCTCCAATCTCCGTTTCATCGGTATCTAACAAAACAAATGACTGGTCATTACAAAGAGCAGAAGAATCGTCATAGAATTTGTGATTTCCATGGGGATGTATAATTTGCTCAGCTAGCGATCTACCTATATTGACAAAAAAATCATTCACCATATCTACCGATGCTTGGGGTGAGGTTGAGGAAGCGAGTAATTCATTATTTGGAATGGTAGGTTTGTAAGAATTAGTTATACGCTTAATAACTTTCCACATCTTTTTGTTATCATTTGAAGCCTCTTTTAGTCCTTTCCTATCATAATCCCTTTTTAATTTTTTTAAGATTTTTGTGCAACAATTTCTGTACCTTTTATAAGTAATATTTAGGATAGTATTATTAGGAGATTGCTTAAGTCTTTTATGCATTAAATCCCTATTTCGCATACAGCGCAGCATGCCAATCGTCATCCATGGCTTAAGTAAACGTTTACTGTTGGGAAGTTTAATTAAACAAGTATTGTTTTTTATTAGGGTACTGAAAGTGGAGATTAAGAACTCTACTGCTTTATTAGCATCGGCAAGTTGGTAAATCGACTGAAAATCTGTATATTTCATATCACAGTCCAAAGTTTTGTAATCAATTTTGGAGATGCTCTATTTTGTAAATTGGTTGAGACGTTTCTTTAGATTAAGACACAGCAATACGGGGTTATGGTCGGTAACAAGGGAGTCAATTACTATGGTGAGTGCTGATAGATTAGTTTTGAGAAGTACAGATCGAGGCAGGCGCCGTCTCGAGTAGAAAGAGTATGAGCTGGAAGTATGCCATGTGAGGCTAATAGGTCCAGATAATCTGCAATTTTATTGGAGGATATGCTACAGGAAATATCCAGGTTGATGTCTTCGACAATAGCTATGTATTTGAATGTGGTTAGGGTCAACAAGAGAGCGTCAAGTGAGTTAAGGAATTTTGTTATGTCATTGAAAGAAGGGGATCGGTAAATACATATTATTGCCTTATCAGTTCCTATTTTTATTACCAGACAACTAGCATCAGAAAAATCTGGTTCTTCTACTGTATATTTTCCCAAATTTTTAACATAAATCACTATGCCATCGTTTTGATTACAATTATTTTTAGTTAGATGACAGGAATAGTCAAAAATGTGGGGGATAACATCTTTACATCGCATTAGCCAGCACTCAGTCAGTATGATTACTTCACATTCGAGGTTTATTCTGCAAAGCAAAGTTAAGAAAGAATCAATGTTAGCATTTATAGAGCGAATATTTTGGGTTATTATTTTTAACTGCCTCGATGGGTTGATTATAATATTTGGAACATTCCTCGGTGTGACAATTTAGTGTAGTAGAAACAGTGAGCTGATCAATAGTGTTAGCTAATTCTGTTATACTATCCACGGCTAAAGTAATCTTGTAAATTGCGGCGTCGCTATTGAAAAACAGTATGTTGCATTAAGACTTAGTTTTTTTATGTAAAGAATGCAGTTGAGGCATATCTTCCTGTATATGTTTAAGTATAAGGTAGGTGTAAGTGTAAATGTAGTATTTGAGTAAGTCTAGAAAGTAAAGTGTTTATGTAAGATATGTATACATATGTAAAATCTAAAAGTGTCATTGTGTTTGCTTAAAATGAGTAGTTTAGTTTTACCATGCAAAAATGTTCTAACAGAGCAAAAAAATAGAAAATAAAATTGAATGAAACATAATCTAATAGTTACATAAACTAGTCATACTTGTTGCAGTTTTTCAATATGGGCTTGGTTTCTGATGAGAATCGCTGGTTGTTCTTCAGCAATTCTTATAAGTACTTTTCCTTGGGCAAGCCAACAGAATTTATATAGCTTTTGTTTTATTAATTGACGAGCCATATAGTAAAGCTTCTTAGAGGTAAGTGTCAAGTCTTCTTGAATGTATACTGGACTCGGAGTTCCACTTATTCCAAAGTGGGAGGAATTAAGTTTTTTCGTCTGATTCGATTTATTGTAATCTCTAACGCAGGTGAGGATTGCGTGTTTAGTTGTTATAGAATTGAGCTCCAAGATTACTGGTCTCGTTGTCCCTTTCTTACCAGGAACACGGTATATATGACATATATCACTTGGTTGAAGGGTACAGTTGAGTGAACTTGCTAGGTTAATCATCATCTGGATCAAATCAGTATTAGACTCTTTATCCTCACAAGGTAAGTTACGGATTTCTAAATTATTTTTTTTCATGTTATATTGCAGATCTTCAACTTTGGCTTCTAGCGAAGATATAAATAAGTAGTTGTCTTTACATTGCTTTTCTAGATTTATTATCTTTACTTGCATATCTTCGTACTGTTGAGAGATAAATTGTAAAGACTTCTCAAACTCTGAAGTTGTGGATTGTAACTGTGCTAAAGAATGTTTCATTTTGTCAAGTTTGGAATCTAGATCTGATTTCCAAGAAGTCAACGTCTGTTTTAACTCGTTTTTACGTCTGATTTCATTTACGTCGGATTTCGTCGTCTTCGTGTTTGCGCTTGGTTCTAGCATTTGCAAAACATGCCGAACGCGATGGTGATTGGACCTTAGTTAAATCAGAATCAGAACCTGCTTTACTTGGTGAACGCAACATGATATTACGCCTTTACTTCGTAGTAGCTATTTCAAGGGCCAGTGATATTGCTATTGTAGTTTAGATAGGCGTTAGGCTGCAGTGATGGGTAGGGCTAGTAGTAACGAAGGCGGAGCTTACCGCGCGGTTGTTGATGTTGTTAATCCTCTGCAACGGCTATGCGCTCCTGCCCCTCTAGCATGACCACCGAAACGGGATATGATAAAGCGATATATCGACATTAACTGTCAGACTACTGTCAAACTCCATAGTAGTCTGACAGTTAATGCTGTTAGATTGCTTTATCATATCCCGTTTCGGAGGTCATGCTTGAGGGGCTGGTACTGCGTCAACTTTTCACTCAGAATTTAACTAGTTTTAAATTATTTATTTAAAAGTTTAGTAATTATTTGGCACGGAGGGTACGTCCACACGCTATCGCGGTCCGAGGGGAAGAGGTGAGAGATGAAAAGAAATGTTTATTTAGTAACTTGTATTGCCTCCCAGTGCATTTATGACAGCTCTCATACGGTTTGGCATAGAATTAATCAATGTCGTTATGACATGTTAAGGAATGTCCTCCCATTCTTCCAAAATTACATTTTTGAGCTTCTGCATGAATTGCGGGGCAGGATGGTGAGCTCGAACACGCCTCTTCAGCTCATCCCATAGATGCTCTATAGGATTCATATCAGGACTTCGCGCTGGCCATCTCATAATAGCGATACCAATGTCATTTAAGTACTCCCTGACGATTCCCGCAGTATTGGCCCTTGCATTATCATGCATTAAAACGAAATCTTGGTCAAGAAATCCAGCATATGGCATCACGTGGTTCTCTAAACATTGGCGAATGTATCTATTGCCATCTAGGGGCGGCAGTCGTGGTCCCGTCACTACCTCTAGCTCAGTTTTGCCTTCCATAGAGATTCCTCCCCAGACTGTCCATGATCCTCCACCAAAACTCACTTTCCTGTCAATACAGCATTGCGTTAAACGCTCGTTCTGTCTTCGGTAAACCTTACTCCTTCCGTCATTACCGTATAGCATTATCTTGGACTCATCTGTGAAGAGAACCTGGCTCCTTTGATGTCGAGTCCAATTTAGATGTTCGCGCGCAAACTCTAAACGGGCTTTTCAGTGTGCTCGTGTCAATTTGGGTCCATTGGCTGGCTTATGGGGTTTTAAACCACGTACATTGAGTCGCCTTCTAACGGTCCGAGCACTTACAGCCACTCCGTGAAAGTCCCTGAGCTGTTCTTGTATCTGAACAGAGTTAAGGCGTCGACTTCGTAAGCTAGTAGTGACAATGTATTGATCTTGTCTCGCCGTTGTCACTCAGTAACGAGATCCTCCTGTTCGCCGAACGAAGCCGCCAGTCTCCAGGTATCGGTGGTACACTCTTTGAACAGCGGAACGACTTATGTGAAGTTGTGAACTCACATCTCGCTGACTTAGCCCAGATCGAAGAAGTGCTACAGCTTGCGCGGCTACTTCAGGTGAAGTATCTATAATTTTATAGCCAAAAACGGTTCAAATTATAGAAAAATAACTAAACTAAACTTTGGTTTACAACAATTGTGAAAATTCAAACCAAATCGACATTAAATTGCTTCAAAAGCAACTTTCAACAGTCATTATTTTTTTCAAATCAGTGACCAAGCTCAGCTTTTCTTCTTTATTTTAAATTCTTAAATTCAAATTTGGAATAATACATACGGGAAAGACGATGAAATATGCCAGCATTAAAAATACATAAAAACTTTTTTGTTATATTGTATATTTTTTGTATATATTAGCTTTTAGACCCGGGAATGTAAGGTGACTCGATTCAAGAGTCCGGGAGTGTATAATATTTTTATTATGAGCTTAATCAGCGCACGCCATGGAAGCTATATACGAGTATATTCAAATTTAAACGCTATCGACCGCACTCAGAGACGTCGATAAAACTTTTTTTAATATAGGTACTTAGTCTAAATTTTCAACGAAACTAAATTTAAAGCTGCTATTAAAGTGCCAACCTTAATATGTAGAAATCAATTGCTGTTCGTTTGTCTCGCTAAAACTCGAGAATGGATGGGCCGATTTCGCTGATTTTGGTTTTAAAATGTTTGTCTCTAGGGAAGGTTTAAACGGTGAGAAAACATGGAAAAATTACGAACAAGGTAATTTTCTCATATAAACTGTTTCATCTAGTTTCCTGTCAAACATTTGACGTTCGTTCCTACGTACGGTAGACTCGGGCCCACTATACCTCTACTACACTACTCGCGAAGTAACCTAGGTTGTGCCACTTCTTCTTAGCCGGTACGCTCTTGACAGAGCGGTCGTGATCGCTATGCACTTGTAGTATTATTGGAGGGGGCAGATGTGATGCGCTTCACTATGTTTCGCCATTGCTGCCTGCTAGAGGTCATCCTGCTGCACTCGTTTAGTGAACCTCCAACGGCTGACTTGATCTGGTCAGTCCATCGCGTGGGAGACCTTCCGCGCGGTCTAGTACCTTCCACCTTTCCTTGGACGACAAGGCGTTCTATGGATAGGTTGTTACGCCGAGAAACGTGTCCGAAGAATGTTAGGATGCGAGATTGTACTGTCGAAAATAGACGCTGCCTGATACCGAGTTCCTGAAGTATCGAGACGTTCGTGCGAAACTCGGTCCACGAAACCCCAAGCATTCTTCTCCAGCACCACATTTCCAAAGCGTCCACTTTCTGCCTTTCCACATCTCGCAAAGTCCACGTCTCAGCCGCGTAAAGAAATATGGGGAATATAAGTGTCCTCACAAGCTTGGTCTTTGTGGCTTTAGTAATGTTTCTGTTCCTCCATATTTTCCGCATCTTGTCCATCGCTGATCTTGTGATGCCCATACGTCGTTTGATTTCATCGATGCATCCGCCATTGTTTGAAATCAGGGCCCCAAGATAGATATAAGATTGGACCACAGTGCAATTCGCGATTTGTGTCACTTCAGGCGAATTATTTCTGGCACGGTCAACAATCATTACCTTGGTCTTGCTGCGATTAATTTTAAGGCCAAACTCACGGCTCACTCGCTCCATCTTTGACAGTAGCTCATCCAAGTGTTGTGAACTGGTTGCAAATAAGGTGGTGTCATCCGCGTAACGTAAGTTTGCAATCCTGTATCACCAATTGTTACTCCGTCCGTCCAGTGCTCCAAAGTGATGCGCATTATCAGCTCTGTGTAGGCGTTGAATAAGAGCGGGGATATTATGCATCCCTGGCGTACTCCTGCACTAGGATGGAAATCACCTGATAGGACATCATCTGTGCGCACTGAGGCTGTGCCTTCTTCATATAGGCGTCTTAAAAGGTGAACAAGATGTTTTGGTGTGCCCATATCTAGCAAGGTCTTCCATAATACCGGCCATTTCACCGAATCGAATGCTTTGGAGAAATCAACAAAGCAAATGAATAAGGGCTTATTGAATTCTCTCGACTTCTCGATGATCTGACGTACGATGAGATTTTGTTCCCGAGTGCCTTTCCCCTTCACAAAACCGGCTTGTTCCGGAGCGATCTCCTTAGAAAGGTAGGTTTTCAGTCGCTCGTTGAGAATATGCAACATTATTTTGCTAGCGTGTGATATTAGAGCAATGAGGCGGTAATTGTTACATTTCTTTGTCGAACCTTTTTTGTGCAAGGGTGTGAAAACGGTGTGTGTCCATTCAGTAGGCCAAACTCCTGTCTGCCATACCTTGTTGCAAATAAGATGAAACATCTGGTCGCCACGATCTCCTAAGGCTTTAATTGTCTCTATCGGAATTGCATCTCTACCAGTTGCTTTTTTACATTTCAGGTGTTTTATGGCAGCTCTTACTTCGGACAGTAGAATGTCTGGTTCCAAATTCTCTCGTTCTGGGTCTGTACTTGCAAACTGTCGGGACTGCGGGTCTCGGAATAATGACTGACAGTAGTTCTTCCACGTTTCGGAGATTTGTTCGAGCTCTGTTACCACTTCATTTCTGTCGTTCTCAATGGCCCAGGTTCGAGCCGGTAGAGATTTGGTAATAAGACGAATTTTGTGGTATAGATCTCGAGACTCGTGCTTCAGAGCGTGTTTTTCAACCTCTTCACAAATGCTATGAAGATGGCGGTTGTGGTCTCTCCTGCAGCAGGCTTGGATGTTAGCAGACATCTTATTCAACTCCCTTATGTCTGTTCCTGCAGCTTTCTTCAGGCGCCTCTCCTCGATTAGAGCAAGAGTACTATCCGTTATCCAATGTTGACGTTTGCGGGTTTCTGATCTTGGATTAGACTCCGCCACTGCACTTTGGATGAGATGTTTAGCTTTATTCCATAGCATGTCTGGTGTAGCTTCATTGTGGTTTGCATCTGTCCATTCCATCCATTTCCGCTCATAGGCTGCATTGAGCTTCTCGCTATCTGTTACTTCAATCCGTCTTATTTTCTTGGAGGATCGGGCAGCTTTGTGTTTCAACCGTATCTTTGCGATAACGAGTTCATGGTCGGAACCACAATCAGCCCCAGGAAGCGTGTGAGCGTTGAGAATGGAGGTGCGCCAGCGCGATCCAATCAGTATGTAGTCGATCTGGTTTTTGGCCTTACCTCCAGGTGAGGTCCAGGTGAACAGTCTACGTGGATGGAGTTGGAATAGACTGTTTGCCACCACCAAGCTGTTTTCGCCTGCGAACTGCATAAATCTTTCACCTCTTCCATTGCGTACTCCAAGTCCGAAGTTTCCCACACATTTACTATACTAGGTTGTGCCACAGTCTACTTAAATACTACGTACAGACTGCAAACTGCAGTACAATGTTTTTTCTGCGCGTAGTATCTAAGAAGTCTGTGGAAAAACCTCGCTTAACCTCGCGAGTATTGTAGTAGAGGTAGGTAATACAAAGTACATCGGGTCATCTAGTAGTCAATAGAATACTTACACATCTATCAAAAGAGGCACATTAGTTCTGCTCAGATAATCTTTAGGCACTTGTAATTGAATGTCTGCGGACGGCAACGAGATATGTATAGTTTCAGGAACTGGGCGACCGGCAAGTAATGTAGATATTTCCTCGTTAGTATCCCATGTGTTAATGCGCGTTCCATTCTGTAAAAAAAAATTGTTTTTTCATAATCGACTTTAGTGTATTTGATTTGTGACTGCAGTTCATGCGGGGCAAATGGCCAAGTACAAAGCACGAAGAAATTAGAGATAGTATTTATTGATCTACTCATCCTGAGACTGGCCGTTGCGAAAGTTTTTTAACTTTCACGATCTGTTAAGATCAAACGCGCAAACAATGCATGACATAGCTCCTCGAAGGTTTTCATATAATTTAATACCAGACAACTTACAAAGTTTGTCTATTGTTAGCCTAAAGAATTATTCCTTAAGTAGTGCGATCCCTTTCACAGTGTCATCGCGCTCCTTACAATAGCACTTACCGTGGTGTAAATCAAAGTCTGTAGTTGCCGGCGCAGTTAACGGCGATTTTTGAGCCATCCTTGCTAAGATGTCCCTCGTTGTAGGGGCAATCGCTACCATCCGACCGACTCACGAAGGAACTCGAGATAGTAAATTATACTGGTCACCCGTCCTAATACTGACAATTGCGAAAGTTGCTCAACTTTCACGATCGCAGATCACTTACCGTAGCGTAAATCAAAGTCTGCGGGATGTGGGGGCCGGCGCAGTTAACGGCGATTCTTGAGCCATCCTTGCTAAGATGTCCCTCGTTGCAGAGGCAGTCGCTACCATCCGACCGGCTCACGAAGGAACTCGAGATAGTAAATTAATTATATTGGTCACCGGTCCTGATACTGACCATTGTAAAAGTGGCTAAACTTTCACGATCGCGGATCACTTACCGTAGTGTAAATCAAAGTCTGCGGGATGTGGGGGCCGGCGCAGTTAACGGCGATTCTTGAGCCGTCCTTGCTAAGATGTCCCTCGTTGTAGAGGCAGGCGCCGCCATCGGACCGGCTTACGTTGCAGGTGAAGCAACGTACACTCCCGCTCGCCTCGGAGGCGTACACGTGCTGCTGTGTAGTATCGTCCACGTGGGTAGCTTCGTACCACCTGAAAACAAAAAGTAGGATATAACAGATATCCTCCTTTATATGTCTGTGAACGCCAGGCTGTTGAAAGCTACACTTCAGTGTTCGTTCCATCACCGAGTTTGTTTTTATTATAATTCGGAACGCCAAAGCTAGTGGAAGCTAAGTTTAGTTTACCAAAAGCAAAGTGCCTTGCTGATAGTAACTGGTCACTATGGTTTATGGATACCTGCGATTCCTGTAGTATCACACGTACGTTGCCGAGCCTGAGAATTTTTTTTATTGTTCTAGAAGAGGTCCATGCTGTGTTCTTATCCGTGATTAAATTTGGGGAATGTGCACAGGAGCTACATGTCCACGCGTCAACCTCCTTTGCCTTTCTTGCATCAGACTTCCAGATCCACGGTGGTTTACCACCCTTTCTTGGTTGCTCCCGTTGTTTTCATTTGCTCCGCCTAATGCCATCTTCGTGAAAGTCGCCTACTACGCTAAACCCGCGGTTCTGCGGTTCTTCTCGGTAGTAATCCATAAATCTCGAGACTACTTCCACTTTTATTTTACTAAAGGTAGTCAGCTCGGATGTATTCGATCTTCATTTATCCTTCCGTCGGTCTCATAAACTTACAAATTCTACGACATTATCACCCAGAGAGACCAAGGATCTTTTCAAGCTGATCTACTTCTTATTGAAATTTATTAAGTAAAAAATGATGAAGATAAAATCCACTCACACAACATCGTCAGGAGTCCACATGAGAATTTTGGAGACTGTGTGAGGAGTGTTGGAGCGGCTAGCGTTCGTCCACATACTGTCGTTCACATCCGACACTTGTACCACTTGCTTGAACATTTTGCCGTTGACTACCTGTACATTAAAATTTTCGTTTAATTTATTCAATATCTTAAACAGAAGAAACATTGTGAACTGTGTTGTTGCTAACATCTATACCAATATTAGAAATTTGAAAGCATGTCAGTCTGTTATCTCTTCATTCTTAAACCGCTGAACCGATTTAAATGTAAATTTTAGGACATAGAATAGTTTTATTCGTATAATTTTTTAAGGAAGTTTAAAGACAAAGTGTGTATATCAAAGACATTTTTCCAGGCAAACGAAGTCGCGGGCACCCACTTATATGATAATAATATTTTTAGCTCTTCTTCATAAGCTGAACCAGATACCAAAAGCATGTTGCCAAACTTAAACCCAAAAATATCAGCAAATGGCATTAAGTTTTTTTAAACTTTTTCGGTACTCACTTCCGGTAATATCGTTATAAATGAGTTTCCTTCCTTATTGAAGATAAACGGAATGTTATCAATCCATCCATTAGGTTCGGTGTAGGAGAATATCTGAAAAGAGTTGAAGATAAATTGAGAAATATTGATACATAAAAACATCCGTAAATATCATAAAGAACATAAATCCTAAGTCCTGTTACTTGATTTAAAATTTAAATATATCATAATTTTGGGAGAATTATGTTCTCTTCCATTAAGACTTTTCTCTTATTTTCATGACAATGGTGTCTTCATATTTCTAAACGCAGCCGATGTTGTCATATACTTAAGAGTACTTATTTTCAGGAAATTAAGAATGATATTTACCGTAGAACAAGCAGCTTGGAATGTACACAACTCAACCGTGAGCTGGGTTTGCACTCGGTTGGTCCACATGATAGCGATAGAGTCTAGGTTAACAAACTGTACCGACTTCAAGATAGGCCTGAAAATTATGTAACAAACATTTTTTACATGTAATAATATAAAATAAATAATAATATAAAAATCCTGATGCCCTCTTGTTGTTGACATAAAAGTTGGAGGAAGTCACATTCTCTGCATTTCATTAAAACGACATCTTTCATATGATCTTCGCGAAATTATAATAAAGTGTGCAGAAATATAAATTATAAGTCTATTGAGGTGAATTGACGTAACATCTTCATTTTTAAGTAGTTTAATTATAAAAGGGGGATCAGACTCGGTCTCACCTAACATCATTGCTAGGCCAGTCGTACAAGACATCGTAGGTTGCATTAAATTGCACTTTGCTGATTTTTGGTATGTTGTTTAGGTTTAGGCAAACGCGATTTTTTGTCTACGGTGACTGGACTATGCTGATATATTTGTTTTATAATACTAATAGGCTAGTTGACTCACGTCAAATTGCATTATAAAAATGTTTATTTCTTATAATTTTTGGTACGAGGAACCTAAATACATCGATTCACTTCAAAAAATTAGAAGATGGCTGTAGTAATTTAATTTGAAAAATAGTTATTGGTCTATGCTTTTTAAACACTAAAAACGCTGTCCACCACGTCCACCATAATTGTGACGTCAACAAATTAGAAAACAACTAAACGTCATTGTTGTTACTGTGGTGTCTTACGTCGGACTAAAATATATCTAAAAAGTCGTTTAACTTGAAGAAAAGTTGCCGTTAATTGGTTTTGTTGACTGAATTAATGCTGGATGCCGGATTTGTGAAAGCAGAAACGACAAAACTCTTTAACTTGTACATTCATATTCTTTAAAAAATGGATTTTCTTACTTTAAATATTATTCAATGAGTACTTACATCGAAGTGATCTTTGCTAAAAGAAATGTGGTATGTGTATTTCTCTAGGTAATTTAAACCACAACATTTCTGGAGTCTTTACCAATTTGTTTCTATATTCTCGTATAATACAATCATGATAATTACTATATTTATCATGAAATCTATTAGAAATCATGGTTTTGTCATCAACATGCTTGCAAGTGTTTGTTTACTATTTTGTTCCCGTCATACCATAGAAAATCTATAGACTAAAATGGCTGACAGCGTTTTTATATGTCCATGAAAAATCTATTTTAAAATAAAACTTTTGTAGTTTTCTAGGTCAAAAAAAAAATACAATACATATTTTTTCGGTCTAAATGAACAATTATTAACCATTTAAAACATATTTCCAAAAAGTGTCAACTAGCCTATTGCTTGAGTGTTTTAGCATCATCTTTTTTAAGTTGTTGAATGTTAGTAATTAAATGTCCTAGTATTTTTAAAATTATCCCCTAATGGGATAAAAGGATGGAGAAAAGTTATGCTTCACACGGCAGAAAGCTAGTTAACTAAGTACACACACACATATGCACACTCACGCACACAGAATAAAAATACACACTTACTCGCTCAGAGCGGTGGGCGGATTAAAAACAGTTTCAGATTCAGTTGTAGATCCCAGGTCCCGAAGTGTAACAAACACGGTTGGGTTGGTGGTACCAGGCTGGAAATAAAAACATTTAGAAAGGGCTTAATAATAGTAAAATATAATAAAGCCTTTTAATGTTTATGTTAAGGTACGACTCTGGTTTGAATCAACTATGGATAAGTGATGAATGCTTTCAGTTTACGTCCATGTAAGTGTCGAACCCACAGAGTCCCTAATTGCTGGGGCCTTTCTATCACAATAACGCATATATTTAAGCAATAGTTACGTTTCTGACCATGTTCATCCATCGCCATGATATGAACACTGTACCCCAAGCAAGAACAATCTGCGAGAAAGTATTCGTATCATCACTTCAAAGTTTCTATGGAAATAGCATAGAAACCTTGACTTTGCCAGTACGAACACTCACAGATCTGTTAAAGTTCGAGCTTGGGGTAGTATGATCGAACCTCATACAGCGTATTGTGCGAATGAAACTAATCAGTTTCATCTGCACCAATGTTTTTCATAGAACTTGTGTAAACAAAATTGGATTGTTGGTCTAACCAACATCCACTTTACAAGTACCGATATAAGTAGGATCGATCTCTTCAGTCCTTGCCACTTAGTCAGACCTTTACTTATTCAATGTAACGGTTGTCGTAATAGTATCAACTTGCGTGGCGAATGTTGTGTTAATAAAATTTTTAGGTAACTTATGCGTGGTATAAACCATGTAGGTATGAACAGTTTATAGAAATAGCAAGCTTTAGATTAACCGAAAGGAAGTAACTATAAATCACTGTAGATTATGATAGATGCTATAACTCACCTTGGGATATCTGATCTCATGATGCTGAGTATACTGGTAGTAGACAGATCCGGGCAAGCCATATTGAGGGACTTTCATCCGCCGTACTTCGGTGTCGTTGAAAGTGGCGTAAGCGAGCTTCGCTCCGTCAGCAGAGAACCACATAGCGTTGCTAGAAGAGAACACCTCCTCTGTAAGTAGTAATAGTCATCATCATCATCAGCCGATTAATGTTCCTACTGCTGAGGCATAGGTCTTTCCTATGGATAGCATAGGGAGAAAGGGCCATGAGCAGTGGATCTAGTGCGGATACCGATTCGCACTCGGTCCATTGGCTGCATCTGCAGTTGTTAACATCCACCGGGATGTTAACAACTGCAGATGCAGCCAGGATCAACGGCTTAACTTAACTTCCGAAGCACGGAGGTGCTCGAGATAATAAGTTTTGGTCACTCATCCAATGGTCAATGCTGTTAAGGTAAAGCATATAATATGAAAATTCTCGAAAACAAAGACTGCTATGAAAAGGATATGAATTAATAAATAAATATGTTTTACAAAAACAACCCACCTTCGTAAACCCAATCAGGAATGCCATGATAAATGACATCGGTTTCTCCGGTCTCTGTGATAGCTACCGGTTCGCTGGTAAAGTTCGACTGGTAATATATGTTGTTTTGGAATACGAAGGCCAGTGCACTGCCTGAAGGACTCCACACGAAGTTCTGGAGAAACGCCTGGGTCGCGTTCACACCGGGAGGCAGAATATTCGTCTCTTGACCAGTGACTTTGTCGACGACAGTGTAACGCCCGTAGAAACTGTATCTGTATTTCTGAAAAACGTATAGTGCATCCGTTATTATGAGTACTTGAAATTATGTGAACAGAATATAATATAGGCAATCATAATAATAAGGAAAAGTATTGGTATAGTGTAATTTTACACAGTTTTATTAATAGAACAAAATATTTTTATATCTAAGATAATTGGGAAGAGTTTCATAGTTTCCTGGTTATGTTTTAGCCTGCCATATAACAAGGTATCACCTTAATGTTGCTGATATTAAAAGAACAAAATATATTTAATGATGCTATTCAGAACACAAGTTCTGAAATATTGTTTTGATCTTTCATGGTCACTAACATTATAGTAATATAAGTTATTTACGGGATTGTTATCATTGTACCTTGTTTTTAGCGAGTTTCCGAGGTGGATTTCGTATAATATATAAATTTCGTATTATTATTATACGTCTGCATCTGAAGTGCAGTAAAACTCTTTTGACAAGTGACTTTGATATTTTCAATCATGTTACCTACTTACAAGCTCAACGTACCAGATAACTAAGTGCCAGAACACAAGATCGTAAGTTCGAGTTGTTGTTACAAAGACAAAGGCCAGATGTCACCTACCACGAAAACTCACTACCAACTCGAACGCTAATCAATATGTCGAGTATTGACTTGTCCGACGCTGCACAGTCTGTTCTTGAAAGAAGGATGAATTTCGCCGTTACACCTAGACGTATTCCCTATGAGGAAGTGATTGGGACGGTTGAAGAGGGTGTGATACGTAACAATATACTACCAGTAGATGCGGATACGTTTAGGCAAGATGTTGCTTAGTGTTACATCATGCGAAGCCACCAAGACCGAATATTACTTCTTCCAAACCAGTTGCCTAGAAAGATTTTCGCAAAAACAAACATAAAGCTGATAAAGGGAATGCGACAGTCAAAATGAATATCAGTGAGTATGAAAATAAAATCCATAGTTTACTCACTGACGAACACATATACAAGAAGGTGAATTACAACCCAACGGCGAGGACAGATCGTAACACTCGCTGACTCATAAAAGAATGCGCCTACGCTTTAGATGTTGACATTGGCAAACATTTGCTACGTTCTAGGAACATCCAGCCTCCAAAACTGTATGGTCTGCCGAAAATCCATAAGCCGAATGTGCCCCTACGTTCGATCGTGAGTCAGATAGACTCACCTACATATGAAATGGCCAATCACGTGGCGAAGTGTTGCAGCCGATAGTGGGACGTACGTCGTCGTTTGTGAGGGTTTCCCATCATTTTATAGAAATCTTGCACTAAAACAACATGAAAATCAGTTGATGGTCAGTTTTGACGTGGAATCGCTGTGCACAAAAGTACCCGTGTTAGATTGTCTGGAAGTGGTGAAGGTAAAGTTGCAAGAAAATGACATCCCGAAGGAATATGCCAAACTGTTGCATCATTGTTTGTCGATGAATTTCTTCATATATCAGGGTCAGTACTACCTGCAAATAGATGGGGTCGCAATGGTCAGTCCCGTAGCTCCTGTGGTTGCCAATATATGGATGGAGCATTTTGAAGAAAAAGCCTTTATCGATTGATTCGATGACGTAAACAACATCTTTGTTACCTCTTAATATACAGAATATTAAGAGGTAACAAAGATGATGTTGAGTCTCACCTGGCAAATTTAAATGGTATCCATTGCAAAATTAACATCACCTATGAAATGGAAGAAGACAGAAGTCTGGCCTTCCTGGAGTAAAGATTCGGGTGCAGAGTGACGGATCGCTTGGTCATTCCATTTACCGCAAGCCTACATACACTGACCGCTATGTCAACGCCTCCTCGCATCACCACTCTAAATATCTTAACTTTGTAGTGACTACTTGACTGACGAACAGTGCATTTGATCTGCGTGATGAGGAACATCTTCACGAACAGTTGAAGCATGTACGTCGAGTCACACTGAGTAATGGATACAAGGGCCATTTTCCATCCAGACACAAACTAAGACACCAGAAACACAGAGTAGACAGATAACCCGTTTATTTGCCATATGTCAAAGGAGTGACATACTGAATAAATACTCACTAAACTACAATACACACTAAATGTCCTTTACGAAAAGTTTCACAATACCTACGGTCTCCTAAAGGCAACTTCCCCTTGGAGAAACCTGGTGTCTATACGCTGCAATCTATCTAGAATGCAGCTGTGGCAGTTCGTACATTGTACAAATAAAGCAAACAGTAGCGTGCCGAATGAGGGAACACATAAAAGCAATCAAGAACAACGATACGCAGAAATCAGCCATCGCGAAACATCTGATTGATTCTGGTCCTTACCACTGGATTGAGTTCCATAACCCACAGATTACCTCGACAGAACACCACTACATACCAAGATTGGTCAGGGAAACATTTGAAATAATAAAACACAAAAAAATGAATTTTGGGACGGGACGGGACGGGAGGACGGGTTTAAATTGTCGAGTGTCTGGAATCTTGTAGTTCATATGTGTAAAAACCGAAATAATCAAAACAGTGTTGTGTCGCGATCCAATACTGTAAGTGCTGTGAGTCGAGAGAATGTGAACAGTGGTACGGGTATCGAACGCTATAAAAGACTTCGTCGGTGGGTAGACCGATATTTCTGCCAATAACAGCCTACCCGCAATTACTTCAGTTACTCCGTGATCATGGCGCTTGCAATAGTGCCGAAACATCGAAAACTCGCAAAAAAATATCGTACATGGTAACAATCCCGTACATAACTGATATTACTACAAGTTCTGAATACAAATACAAATAATTTATAATCCCATGCTTGGCCTCTAAAACCCTTGCGTCTCACGACTCTGAACACTGACTTACCAGAATCCTTTTCCTAACACTAAATTGCAGTAAGACTAAACGCCTGAATTTAATAGATTTCTTCATGTCCATTATTTAATCCTCGATAAAACTCGATTCCTCATTGTTCGACGACGATGATCGCCGTGTAATCGGTTTATTGAGTGATTCGTAGACTGCAAATTGAAAATGTCGAGGCGAGGTCTTCCACCCAAGGCGGAGGTGATCAGCAATACTTTTTATTTCTATCTAAAGAACTTATTGCATAAGCACTGCTTATGACGGTTTTATTTTTTATCGAACTCTTGTTTCCTTCAAGTTACCAGATCCAGATCCAGATCTGCATTGACGTTATGTCCTAGTAATATCCTTATATATTGTTTTCAAATATCTCTTTATCATTGAATTTATGGGTAACATACGTCTGTGCATCAGTGAGATTTTCTTTTTAAGTAAATGACAAGTTATTGTCCTTTACCTTACCTACCTTTACCTTTACCTTTATGTAAATTCGATCTTATCCTGCTTCTTTGTTTATTATAGAGTTGTTACTTAACGGTCTGCCAACTTCCTTAGTTTGATTTCAATTACCTAGTTGTTTATGCATTAGTTATATTTTTTGATGTTGACAAGGTTTTAATTGCCATTTTTACTGTTGCGTGAAAGATGTGTGGAAATCAAATGCTGACCCCTATTTCTGTTATCCCAAGAACTAGAATAAATTACAGCACTAACCCCAAGCTCCAAGTACATTTGACAATGGATTTACTATTCCGGGGTATTTGTGAGTAAAAAAATGCCAATATCATTGCGTTTAACGCAATGGGATATAAATAGGGTTCAATAACATTTAAAAAAGCTTTTTTTCTCACTTTCACTCACCGACAGGAACGCAACACTACTAAAAGATAGTGTAATTATATTATGGTCTTCGGTAAGGTAAAGGTTACTTCTCCAGGTAGGCGCTCCAATTCGAGCGGTAAGCCCATTATGCCTTACTAACAATAAAGCATGAATGATTACAAATAGTTACTTATTTACCGGAATCACATCATGAGCCAGCACCACCAGTTCGCCATCGTTGGAGAGTAGAGTTACCCGTGATGACTGCTGGAGAAGCTGTGAAAAGGATTATATCACTAATAAGAACACTGTAGACGCCTGACCAACCTTCTTTGTAAGTTTTTAGTTTTAATTGTTTTTCTTTATAGTACGAGAGCCCACGACCAAAACCATGTCTCATAGCAATACGGCAAAAACCCTATAAAATCGTTAGATTGTATGATTCCGAACCCGATTAGGTGTGTAGTAACGGTCGAAAGTGTAGCAACTGCGTGGGAGGCCATTTCTGCTGTGTCAAAAAAAAAGACAGTTGGTATTATAGCAATACGTCTGATAGTGAAAATGTACATAGATAATTGTATTACGAAAAAGTTTGTTTTCAGACATTTTGCGCGTAGCATATAGCCTGAGCGCATTTTTGAAAATGTCAACAAATTTAGCCGACCTGTATCATAGCAATACGGATATTTTTTTTTTTTTCAACTTTTCGTATTGCTGCCATGATTACCAAAAACCTGTTTTCAGACACTTTAAGTGTAGCATATACTCCCAAAAACGAAAATAACGTTTCCGAGTCGCCTGGCCGACGCCTCTGTTAAATGTTTTTTTAAATTTACAGCCTTCATAGATATTCAAGAATCTCCCTTGTCTATTATATGTACTTTGACAGATGACAGATGTCATGATGTGTAATGTTAATTATCATCTAATAAATTAAGGGTCGCAACGTATTCATTGGTTTGTAACAGAAAATTCAAGATGCCTCAATACGACTTTTAAATGATATCGGAGTATCGAAAAGTTGTCTGATAGAGAAGGTGCTACACTTCATTTGTCTGATATAAATTTTTTGCACATGTGGACAACTTATTTTATCATGTCCAACAATTTTCAGACATATTGCTATGATACCGATCGGTAAAATTTGTTAACATTTTCAAAACGGTCTCAAAATTTAATGCGTTCACATTTCCATCTGAAAATTGTTTTTTTCGCATCAAATAACCAAAATTTACTAATAAAAAGATTTTCAGACGTATTGCTATGAGACATTTTTTTTGTCTCATTTTTAATTTTTTTAAGTGATTTTACGGTTTTGCGCTATACCACTAACGTCTGAAAAATATGTTTCCGGTATCTCAGAACTATCATTCAACTACAGTCTGCAAATCAGACATATTGCTATGATGCAGTTCGGTAAAATTCTTTGACAATTTCGAAAATTCGGTCAGATCAAACGCTACGCGGAAATGTCTGATATTAGTATTTTCGAATTCAAGATAATCGTATCTATCGATTTGATGCGGTTTTGGCCGTATTGCTAAGAGACAAAAATTTTGGTCGTGGGCTCTCGTAGTATTACGCGCGTTCGATTTTCAAACAGTAGACGTGACGACGCGCCAATTTTACCAGCTGTAAAATTGTTATTGATTTTTGTTTGCATATTATTTATGTATTTTGCAGTTAATGCAATAGTTTTTCTTTGATAATTATTAAATTCAGTGGCATCAAGTGCATGCTTTATGTTTCTGCTTAAACACCCTCAACAGTATCTAAGGTTAAACTAAACACTTACTTTAATATAAAATAGTATAAATTTCTTTTCTCTTTTCAAAATAGGTAAGTAGCAAAGCCACTCTATTTTATCGATTCTTAAGTCATAAAGTATATTTTATCAATATTGAAAGATTATTTTACACAGGTAACTCCTACTATAGGTTCTTATCACTTATTAATCATATTATTACAGTTTTAACAGTATTATTATATTGCTGAATAAATTTTTAGTATTTTTCATCACGCTCAGCTTCAAAATTTCTAAAGAAACCATTTATAAAGCTGTTAAAATACTAAAATAATGTAAAAACTGAACGATGAAGATTCTCTGTAATTGCTTACTTCACATCCAGTTACTTAATCAAGACTGTGAACCTTTCCCAGCTTTTCAACGTTTAATCTAATACATTATTGTATACTCATTATAATCTCGAGGAACTGTTAGGAGATACGGTATTCATATTGTAGTCAGAAGTCATATTACACATTTTAATTTAATTTAAAATTTAAACATCCCTTATGGCGCTATTACATTTGGTTGCTAGGCCGAATACGAGTGCCAATGGAATTCGGATAAACGACTGTGTACATTAACGGAGTCGACTACACCCTTATTCGAGTAGGTTTTCGTTTTGGTTAGCCGACACCGTCTTCCAGCCCGTATTCCAGTGTAAATATTGCTTCAGGTGCCCCAATTCGAGTAATGTTTTTCGTGCACCCGAATACGGGCTTACGACCAAATGTAATTGAACCATTAGACCCTTACCTGTGATGTGTTGCTGATGAGCAACGTTGTGCTGTCACTGTCTACATCGTACAATACCAGGTCCCCGCTAGCACTCCTGAACATGACGTCGTTATCTGTAATGAAAAATGGAAGGGGAAATTTAGGATTTCAAAAACACACGAGCTCGAACATTTGTAAAATGATTTTGAACATGTTGCCAGATTTCTACACAGTGGCTTTCTTTAAATTTGGGATTATTTCCCCAAATAGCACTCGAATTCAAGCGAAAAATTTATGCCCTGCATACCCCTATTTTGACTATTTTCCAAGGTACGCCTTTCAAAATACCAAACTTCATCGCATGCGTCCTCCGGCCGTCATCGTGAATCTTGGATATTTATTAATACGCTACGCTTTTAAGCTCGGTTTTTTAACAAAGTGATATAAGTACGTCATTGTTGTTTACGTAAGTACGTCAAAGCAGATCATTGAGTAGGTAGATCCCTAGGTCACTAGTTTAAAATCTAACATTTTCTGTGTGGGTGGAATTTCAAAGAATGTCTTTTCCCAAAATATAAATTTATTAAATTCTGAGAATTAACCCCATACTTATGCACTAGAAGACAGGGTCTTTCCATTCTGAAAGATGTGAAACTAATAAGACATATGTGACGTTAAATCTTAAATAATATTCTGAGAACGTTGTAATATTTTTATATACACTACACGTCATGGCATTAAAATTCAAACATGCAAACATGCCCGATGTTTTGAGTGCATACACTTAATAAATTTACTATAACCTCATTAAAGTTCATTGTGATACATTTCAGCTGTCAAATGTTCTATGTTTGTGTCGTGTTTTTGCCAATTATGTGGATTGTTTACCATTCAATATAAATTTATATTGATTTACCTGAAATCCATTAGTGCCATTGTAACTGGCTGGCGAGAATATACTCCATTGATAAAGGATTATTATAGGTCGATAAGATGATTTTCTTCTGGTAGATAGGTCGGTGTGGTTGGTACGTGGTTTGGAATGGTGACCAACAGTGCGGCCGTGCTCAGAATCGTCGTAGGAACTATAGGCGTTAACATAATGGACTGGGATTCCCCGTTCTCTTTGCAAGACAAGTGAATTGTTTACACTACGGAAGTCCAAGTACCGTTGTAACTGGCTCACGAAAATCTCCATCGATAATAGATTTTAGGTCAATTAGATGGTCTTCTTCCGAAGGAGGGGAAGATGCGGGGGTAGGAATGGTAACCGGTGTTGCAATCGTGCTTATAGGCGTCGTTAGAACTACGGACATCAATAAAATAAGCTTGAATTCCCTACCCTCGATGGCAGAAAAGTGGTTTGTTTACACTTACTTACCTGAAGTCCAAGTGCCATTGTAACTGGCTGGCGCGAACACTCCATTGATGATGGATTCTAAGTCAATCAAATGGTCTTCTTCCGGAGGAGGACTCGTCGTCGTGGTAGGCGCTGGAGTTGGAATGGTGACTGGTGGTGCGGTCGTGCTTATAATCGTCGTCGGAACTACAGTCGTCGACACGATGGGCTGGGACTCCCCGCCCTCGTTGCCAGACAGCACTACCACTAGGGTCACCACGACGGCGATCACGGCGACCATTGCAATGCCGCCGATTGTGTACGTCAGTGTCTTCTTCCTCTTTGTCGTAACAAGGACCTAGAACGTTTAAAGTTTTTGATTCTTTAAACAAGTATCTACTACGTTCTGTGGAGCTTAATGGCAGAAAATATAACATTAAATGTATCACAAAGGGATTTGTAGAAGTTCAACTTTCTATAATGAACCTGATAGAATAAATATACATTAATACCAATGATACTTGGGTGAAAGAGCTATACACCTGAAATTGTTTTAGTTTTAAATATCTTATCTTACACTAATTGTAAGGAGTTTTTGGAAGATCGTAGAATGAATGCCGTCTTAAATATAAAAAAACGAATCAATGCTGCAATTGCCTTTCTCTATGAATTACTTGGACACCCACCATATGACCAACTATTAGTATACATATTTGAAGTACCTACTACGAATTTTGAAATTGATTGGGTGTAAAATATATCCGGAATTAACAACATCCCAATTTAATGTCGCCATCAAAGACGTCTATAATCTTTTATATCATTATATTGTCTTTTGTGCTTATACAAACTAGGCTGTCGACTACAACATAAGACTAATTTATTAAAAAAAAGGAAAATTGTCTTTGTTGTAATATTGGTTATTTGTACACATTATACTGGCTGCGACGAAATGGTATTTAAAATGTAAGTGTTTACTCATACTTAACTACAACATCCTCATATTACTGGGTAATAAACACAAAAACAAAACAATCAAATTAATAGTCAATAAATCATTTAATAATTTTATGCTTCTATTCACTGAATGAATTTTATTTCCGAGAGAAGATAATGTTGTCAAGGATTTGTTAAAACAATCACAAGCTGTCGCTTCTATCTCCCAACAACCGTATAATTTATGAATAGGCGCACAGTTACTTAATCTGTCGAATAAGATAAATGGCAGCTGGCTCTGTTGGATTACTACCTATAATTGCGACTGTGTTTATCCCATGAGATGGCAAGAATAATTAAGAGCGATAGCGTGATTAAGAAAGTACAAAGTACGAAAAGACTTCAGTAACCAATATCACTATTGCTTTATCGAAAAATCAATTGTTACAAATTCTCAGTTCAGTGCAACTTTATAATCTGTAACTTAGCGTGGCAAATTGGGTCTTATGTTGGGTCTACTTACATGAAAGTACTTGATATGTGGATATACAATATATATATTATTTTTCTATCGACGTTACATAGCGCCTAAGCTATATAAAATCACAAGTTAAGATTGAAAAAACACCCGTTTTTTAATATTTTAGAGTTCGAAGATAAAATTTAGAAAACACCATATGAGAAGGCGTTAAATTCTAAACACATCAATTCATCTAATTATTTGATTGACGACAATAGAATGATGAACCGAAACGCGTGCGGACCAGTTATATCCAAATTACATACCTCACAAACGAGTTAAGAATCACATTTCATATTGTAACTAACTCCAACTACAAACTGTGTCCAGACTTCGCACCGCCGTTATTTGAAGTATACTTGTCATTAAGCATAGTCCCGGTATTTCCTACGCGAATTCAAACGTTTGATTTTAAATAAGACCACATTCACACGTTGAGGGATCCGTCATAACGGCTTTTTATATGTATTTGCTGTCTCAAACACTTAATGCAAGATGTTAATAAAGAGTTTCAAATCTAGATATGCCCAAGACTGTGTGTGGTATGAGTATTTTGAAAATGGGCTATTTTAGAATAGACACACCAATTTTGTTTTTCAGTGAATACATACATTATTATAATTCTGCAATGTATTCGTGAAGTACTTATTAGTAGACCCTGCCACGTGAAAATAAACCTTATGTCATACGCCACCTAACAAATAAACCACCTAGAAAACGAGCAATCATTTTAACGTACATTATACAATTTCGTAGAAAGTAGTAATAAGCTTTAGGGCAATGTTGCATACATATATATATCGTCGAAACTCTTTCACAATTAAAGCTTCTCACACTTTTAACCAGTACAGTAATAGCTTCTTATTCGCGGGATATACGTTCTAGAAATATGACGCGAATACAGAAACCGTGACTATGGAGTGGTAATTTATATGAGATTTTGGGGGATACGTTTCAAGGTGGCAAAATAAAAGAAAACAATATTTTTAATTATTCAATTTAATTGAAGTTTTTCCCAATATTAAATAATTATTGTCAGTCTTAGACAAGGATTTAAAGAGATAACATACTTTACGCTTAGTTATAATAAGATCTATTTTACTTTTATAATTACTCCATCCACTGACTCGGTTAAAAAGGCTACCGAATCCTTTTTATTTCGATTAGATCCGCGATCAAGAAATTTTTAGCAGAGAATATAGGGATTCGGTCGCAATTTTTGAATCTGCGAGTAGTGAAAACGCGAATAAAGGAAGCGCGAATAAGGAGCTTTTACTTTTACTCATCAGGCCAGTTAGATGTAGATTTGTTTTGTGACAGCTTGTATTCATTCAAAATACAACAATAATCTTTAATTTGCCCCGAGTACTTAGGTATAAATTGTGTTTTTTTTTTGTTTTTTTAATTGCTTATAAGTATACATACTAAAAATACATTTAAGCATCATGTGCTACGTGCCGATTTTGTTAATTATTACCTTAACTGTCTGCAGAAACTAATAATAGCCTTAACCATAAATATTCTGAAGAAAAGCAAGTAAGAGGCACTAGCTGGTAGTTTCCCCAAAACTGTAAAAATAAAATTAAATATTGCATACGATCGCGGAAATGAATTAGGAATAAATAAATAAAAATACTTTTATTAGTCAGTTCGAAATTTTGTTACCGTGTTGTGACTGCCTCTGGGTTGTAAAACAATACTTGTATCGGGGATGCCTCTCTCAATCCCAATACATCAATATAATGAGGTTGAGAACAAAAGTTGGCAAGAAATGATCGTGGCTATCCCCTAAAAATTACTACTACTTTTAGTTTTTGAAATTACTCATTTATCATTGATGTCGTATCTTTTCGTATTAGAAAACGGACTCCGGCAAAACGTTGTGATGTGAACGTATCTTTAGTTTTTTCTTAGATACGCTCGAGTAGTTCAGGGTTATCAAAGACTGATAGTATTATCGTAGTATTGACATGAAGAGTACTCGAGTTAGACATATCAGAATCTGAATCACTATAAACATTTAAAATGTACTGTGTTGCCAAGGGTATAGGACACGAATTTCTATAAATCATGCAAAGCATGCGGATGTTATCAATGAAATACTGAATAGCGTCACTTTAGAAATAAATATTTCAGTTATGTGACCCCATTAAAGAGTTATTAAATTTTAGTAGTTCCAAATCAAATGACACATTCATCACTGCCATGGTAGTCTAAGGTCCGTATTACAGAATGACAACTAAGTGTTGATCTTTACTTGAGTACAGTTAGAATAGGGATGTCGTTATGAGCTATACCTAGTCAGGTCATAAATTCTGTCACATGTTTAATATAAAATAATTGAAACAAGTTTATTCATTATGTAACCACCAAAATGAACAAAACAAAACATAGATTCTTATGACAATAAAGTTTATTCAAAATGACCTCCGTGATTTTGAATACAGGCCTTCAATCTGAGCGGCCAGTTGTCTATCGCAGCACGAACGAGGTCCATTTCAATATCGGCGGCTGCCTTAATCAAGGATGTCTTGAGTGACTTCAAATTGGGATGAGGCTTTGAGCAAGCCTTTTCCTCCAAGTGTTGCCATATCTTGTAATCTAACGGACTCAAATCTGGACTGGAGGAGGGCCAGTCTTCATGCCGGATGAAGTCGATTTCACGCGCCGCCAGCCAGTCTTGTGTGCTCTTCGCTCTATGAGCTGGCGCCGAATCTTGTTGGAATACCCAGTACCTCTTATTGAACATGGTATGAGAAATAGGTTCCACAAAGTTCATCAGGACTGTATTTTGATACACAACTGCATTCGAATTAGCCCCAATATGAAACTCCCAACCATACCATGAGCGAGGATGGAAAATGACCTCGTTGGACACGCGGAATACGGTTGCTCGCTTCTTCACTACTGTGTGCGTACACCTTATCATTATGTTTGTTGTAGCTCTCTTCTACGTTAAAAATTTTTTCATCCGAAAAAAGAATTTCCTGATATTTTTTTCCCGCGTACCGCTTCAACAAAGCGCGGCATCTCTTCAGTCTCAGGTCCATTATACGAGCATTCAAAAGATGTCCTGTTTTTTTTTTAATATGCCCGAAGCCCTAAGTCTTCATTTAACACCCTTTTCACCGTGGTTCTGCTTCACCCCATCTGAAGGGCCAACAGTTTCTGCTTACGTTTGGGATTTCTTTGAATTCGCGCCTTCACAGCTTTTATCACTGCTGGAGTCCTAACAGACCGAGGGCGACCACTTCTTGACCTGTCATCTACACTAGAGTCTTCATTGTATCTTTTGATGGTACGATAAACGAATCCTTTGTTTATTATTTTTAATTTTTTCAGTATGTAAAAATTTTGAATTGGCGCGTAACCGCAACGATGCAACGCAATAACTGCAACACGGTCTTCTTTAAGCGTCCACTCCATATTTAAAAAAGGTTAAATTCTAAAAAGTATACATTTTTATTTTCATGAACAATTCGAAATTCGAATTCAATAAACTTTTTTGTGGCCAGCATTCTAAAAGAAAAGTTTTTACTGTGTGACAATACTTATGACCTGACTGTGTGTACAGGGCGTCTCACGGCTACCTCACACGAAAGGAAAGTATATTAAATATTGAAGATAGGATATTTTACTAAAAGAAGACATCGTTTTATTTTTAATAATAATAAGAACTGCATTCACAGATTTTTTTTAAATTGCCTGCTACAACTGGGAATCAAACTCGTGAAATCTCGAAAAAAAAACTCGTCATTTTTTATGATAACCATTGAAAGGGTTACTCATAAGTATTATATTTTACTAAATAACGTAGCATTTTAAATGAAAGAAAAGTAATTAAATTTAACATTTTATTTAACACAAACTAATATAAAATCGGATACGCCTCAAAGTAAGTTAAAATGTTGAGTTCATCATCGTTGACGTTTATCATTCGCTGCTGTAGTTTCTGTAAGCGCATATCAAAATGTCCTAAATTTCTTAAAGTATCCGCTAACCTTTTAAACACATATCGAGAAGGTACGTCTCTATCCAGGTATCTTTCGCGGTACCACCGCAAAGCTGATATGTCTTTGTGGTTCATAAAGTAACCTTCCATTAAATCCATTTTATTTTGATACGCCATGGTAAGTAAATTAACAAAAAAAATGCAAATAAAATTGCAGGCGCTTGAAAATTTATGTGTTCCATTTTCGAATTATTATTTTTATAATTTTCAGCCAATCGCATTGTAACTGTGAGTTCAGAAAGAAATGCATACGTACAAGTACTACAGTTTGTATATCACTTTATTATTTTTATCACGTAATAAGACATTCCTTTCATTTAAAATGCTATGTTATTTAGAAAAAAATAATCCTTATGATTAACCCTTACGACAGTTATCATAAAATATGCTGTTTATTTTTTCAAAATTTCACAAGTTTGATTCCCAGTTGAAGCAGGCGATTTTAAAAAAATCTTTGAATGCATTTCTAGTAATTATTAAAAATAAAATGATGTCTTGTTTCAGTAAAATATCCTATCTTCAATATTTAATATACTTTCCCTTCGTGTGAGATAGCCGTGGGACGCCCTTATGACCTGACTGTATATATAGCGACATCCCTTTCTATCTATGCTCAAGACTAGATTGATTACTGAGAATCTTTTTATAATACGGGCCTAAGAGCAAAAGAAAACATAAGAAGCATGAGCCGCAAATTTTATCTGGTGACAAAAAAACTAATTTAAGGCAAAATATGAAGCTTATTAAAACTTAAACATATAATTGTATCCTAGGGTCTTATATCTCTATCTATTTAGGCTAAGACCTTCATCGATTAGTACTGTAACGTCCTTGACGTTATAACCTCCTTGTTTAGGTAAACTCTTTGCTTTTGCAATGCCTACGGTTGGCAGTTATATTAAAAAGTTAATGTCATGATTTTAAGATTTGAAATAAGGAATCGTCTGTCTTTTGATAGAAGGTTCCATTCTAGATTAGATCTTCAGGCACCAAGAACTTCCTCTCGTATTTAGATAAAATTTCTTTATATCGCCTGAATGATAAAAAAAATAAATAATTTATCTCTATCAGTATTTTTTCAATTATCGTCTACGCCCCAGGTTCTATCCATTCTGGGTAGAACTCTATATGGTGGACGCGCCGCGTTAGTTCAAGTACCGCGAGTGAAAAATAATTTTAAATCAAGAAAGAAGTAGTTTTATGAAGATGGAGACCAGGACCACATTCGACGGAAAAGGTGATGTAACCGATTTCTTTCGTCAATTTAATATCATCGCCGCTATCAATAATTTCAACGAGGATACAAAAAGAGTTGTGTTGTCGGCATATTTAAGTGGACCTGCATTGTTATTTATAAAAATATTAATGAGTCTTGTGAGAATTTTCAGATTCTAGAAAAGAAAATTTGTGAGAATTTCCATCATCGATAAATGCGTTGGAAAAATTTTTCTCACGAAGACAAGGCTTGTCAGAAGAGCCATTGACTTTTTTATGTATTGGATGAGCTGGCCACAAAAGCGGGAGCTGTCATCGATGACAAATGCTTCATTAGACAGTTCTTGAAAAATGCGAATTTAAATACAAAAAATCTTTTCGCATTTCAGTTATATAGTGATAAAACACATTTAAAAAATATTTTACGTCAAGCACAGGATATTTTCGGGACGAAAGTGCCGAAATTTGTTGGAATCTGCCGATCCAACCATCGTTTGTTACACAAACTTCGAAGCGGCGAAAATTTCGCATATAATAAGGCATGAAGAAGAACAAGAGAGAAATCAACTTCATTTCCTCCCAAAGTGTCCTTCTCATCCCATTGTCCCTCCCGAACATGATTCCCCGCACTTTTTGTTCCAGTAACACGAACAAAAAGAAGTATAAATCAAAGAAGAAGAAGCATCCAAAGAAAATTTTTTATGAAGAAAATGTTATGACGATGGCTGATGGACAAGATTTTCATTCCCAACCGTCAGAAAACAACAATCAATATACAAGTGAGTCCAAACCATTGATTAATATAACGTGTCGTGATAAGAAGTTTGTAGGGCTCATTGATAGTGGTGCTGCAGTGTCTGTGGTGTCGAAGGACACAGTTAATAGAATTCATCAACGAATTGATGAAAGCGATATGAAGTTGAAAGCTGTCGATGGTAAAGAATTGTCTGTTATAGGGAAAGTTAACCTTAAATTATTGATAGACAATGTGTTATTCATTCACGATTTTCTTGTGGTAGAAAATATTAGGCATAACCTCATCTTAGGACAGGATTTCTTACTTCGAAATAATGCGATAGTAGACTTTTATAATGAACAATTAATAATCAAACATATTAAGTGCAAGTTTAAAAGACAATATATCAAAAGAATAATGAAAGGATAGTGATAATTCGGTGTATGATGAAAATTTATATTATGCCGAATAGGTTGATAGTACATAATAATATGTGTTACTAATGAGATTTTATTTCAGTTTATTGTTTATATGAATGTTTTAAAGCAATGGTGGTATGTAAATAAGGTTCAATACAATAGTCATTTTAGAATTTTTTTTCAATACACATATTAAAGGAACTTTTACACATTTTGTTTATGACAGATCAATAGGTAGTTTCATTAAAGTATTTTCATTTCTTTTAATTGTTAGCTTTAGTGTAATTTGTTGAGTAGGTGGATCATTGATATCGTAATAACCATAAGAATGATAGGTAACAGGTTCGATTCTCTGTTCAACTTGGAATTATTCAATTGACTTTGAATATGATCATTGATAGGATTAATTCAGCATTAGGATAGAATATATAGTTAATAATGTATAATAGGATAATATAGGTCCATAAAGAAAATTCCCTTATTATAAAAAAGGAAACGGGTTCGATTCCCTGTAAGGTTAAAAAATAAATAAATGAATAATAATGTTAAATTTGAAAATTTATCCAACTATGAAAAGAGGTATAAAGACTTATCATAAACTTAATGTTTTCATGAATATTAACTTACCCGACTGAAGAAAAATGGTGTAAAGAATTTTACTAATATTTTCTTGATTGTTTTATGTACTACCACATGATGCGGACTTCCCGAGAGAGAGCAGGCTGGCGCTCATGCAGACGTCAGCGATACTGACGATGATCCACCCTGAAGATGATGGACACCCTCTACGAATTCGCGTCGTTTTCGTTTCAATTTGGTCGCGTCGCGTCGCGTTCGTCAAAATCGTCCACTTGTAGTAGTTTGACTTGGGGGTAGGGAACCCTTAGTATTCCATGGGAATTGGGTTTAATCTTGTTTGATGCTAGATGTCCTTACCCAAAATTTCTATTACGTTTGCGCATCATGGGTGTCTAATAAAGTACAAGACAATAAAGTGGTGGACCACGTCTGTATCTTTATTAAAGATGTACGAAAGTAAACATTATTTATAAATTCTTTTAGGTTTTGCTCAAATCCAGTTAATGTTTACGAATCTTAGGAAATAGTTTGAATTTCGTTTCGTACATCTACTTAGTATGGGAAGTAATGAAGTTTCAAAATATAAATTTTCTTGATATTTAATGGTTTAATAAATGGGATAGGGTAAAGTTTTGCTGATAGATGGGATATAAATAAAAATTGCTTGGGTAATTTAAGTTATAACTAGGGTTAGCTTGTTTTTTTTTGTTTTTGCCGACTGATGTCGATGTAAAGTAAAGTAAAGTTAAGGTTAGGAGGGAGATGTACGAGGGTTTTTGTTAAGGTTTTGCTCCCGTAAAGTCTTTGCAATAAAACTTTGCAAACAGTTAGGGTTCTTTTCCCGTAAAGTTTTTTTTGCAAGTTTTGCAAACTTATTGTGAGGGCTAGTGTAGTAAAGGCCACCTCCCAGTTGTATTTATGTCCTTAGCAGGTAGGTAGGGATTTTAGATAGGACTGTCGAACCCTCTCGATGTAGTAGGTAGGAAAAAAAATTTTGTTCGGTCATCTGGTATGACAAAACAATTTTTTTTTTTTAGAGGTGCCGGAGGGATGTAACGTCCTTGACGTTATAACCTCCTTGTTTAGGTAAACTCTTTGCTTTTGCAATGCCTACGGTTGGCAGTTATATTAAAAAAAGTTAATGTCATGATTTTAAGATTTGAAATAAGGAATCGTCTGTCTTTTGATAGAAGGTTCCATTCTAGATTAGATCTTCAGGCACCAAGAGCTTCCTCTCGTATTTAGATAAAATTTCTTTATATTCGCCTGAATGATAAAAATAAATAAATAATTTATCTCTCTCAGTATTTTTTCAATTATCGTCTACGCCCCTAGGTTCTATCCATTCTGGGTAGAACTCTATAGTACTAAAAGCAGAACTTTTCGCTAAGTGACTATAACATAATCTTAGTGAACAGAAATTCTGCTTTGCCTTGGTGTGGCCAAGGCAAAGCAGGGCATCTAAAGCTTAAGAATATCTTATATCTCACCTGATCACTGGTCCCCATTTCCATCGTAGAGTTGCTGTTTTCTTGCGCCATATTGGTGGTTGTTTACGGCCTGTAAAAAAAATATATTTTACTTTTATAAAATGGCAGAAAAGTTTTGATGTTGACCATAAGTAATTTGCTCATGTAGGCTCTGCGGGATAACAGAACATGTCGGTGCGACATAAATCTCTGTCGCATCTTTGCCAATGTCCTAGCGCTCGCTAACAACGCAGATACAAGCAGGATCAATGACATACTTCGCCAGCCGTGGCCAAAATTGGTAGGTGGAAGTTATAAGACTTCGTTCGTGTTAACTTTAGCGTTTTGAGAATCCCACAGGAACCTAACATTTTTCCGGAATAATATCATATAATATCCTGTCTGAGTCCAAGTCATTAACTATATGTGTTCAACCTTAAACAATGTTTATTTTGGTTTGATATGTATTTAGTACCATTTGGTTACGAAAGATGGTGCTAATAAAATGTGTCAAATGTTCGGGTATATGTTCTAAATCGCGCTGTAGAAATTATTTTATGTATATACTTATGATAGATGAATAAGGTTCAAAGTTGCGAACAAATTGGGCCACAGCGATCTGTGGAAACAGGGTGCCAGTTTTTTTTTATTTAAGAAAAGAAGAGTCGATTTAAGTAAGAAAGTCAATCGTACGTTAATTTCATGTAAATCCGTTCAGTCGTTTTTGCGTGTTTGAGTAACAAATATATTTAAATATGAGTGGGACAATTGTTGGACACCTTTTCAATAAATAACCAATGCGAATGTCGCTCTTATCATTCACAATCTGCGACCTAACTTTCTAGCCGTTATTAGTTTTGATTAGCTGTAGTTTGCAGTGAGGCTTACTTCTTCAAACGAGTGGTATCAATTTCATGTGAATTATCTACTGTTCCCAACCTCCAATTAATATTTTTTGACTATTTTTGATAATGTTTCAAAAAACAAAAAACTTTTCCACAATACGTATCTCACTAAATTACATTCATCTCTATTTGTTTCCCCCCCCCCCCCCCCCCTCTCATGTTCACCTGCCTTCCGTCCATCACTTGTCGAGATAATCAGTTGCTTTTTTTACGTTAATGTCACCATTGATATTTTAGATTTTAAAAAGGGATTTAATTGTTCATTGTTAAAATTATTTTGCCCAGAAGCCTAATAAATGATCCATTGTAAAAATTAATTGATAGATCCCTTCTCTTCTTTATTTTACGTCCACATTAATCAGGAGGTTGCACGTAATTGATTCTGATTCCTCTGGTGAGATTTCAAACCCGACATTAAAATAATTTCTTATTGTATACGTACGTATATTCATCATCAATTTAGCTGAAGTCCATTGCCAATGGGGATGATGACGGGTAACGAATATTTAATTTGTCAATCAACCAAAAAGATATATAAATGAAGCACGTCAAAGTTTGGGAAGGGGGGGCTCATAACGTCACTTCTAAATGACGTCATGCGATATTTCAAATCGATATATCTCTATGATGTTTTGATTATGTGAAAAAAGAAAAATTACGTGTTCAATGCGTTTTGATAATCTAACTGATACATGAAGAAAAAAACTTAGTCCTTCGCTTTCCGTATCCAGTGAATCTCCCAATTCGTTTCATGTCATCAGTTCAACCTGAGACCCCAAAGTCCACATACCCGCCGAATTACGATTTCTAACTATTGCCACTTCAACTCGGCGAACTCTATCAATAAGGTAGGTACTATAGTTTTTCCACGGATTTCACAAGTGGAGGTGTAATTTACTTCCGCCCATAGTCTTACTATAGAACATAATAATATTAACTCTTTATTGCCAAAAGATCACATCATAGAATATGTTTCCGGAATTTGAAATCGAGTCTCTAGAAGATTTTGTAAAATAAATTAGTTATTAATGTTATAAATATCATTAAGAACTATTTATCCTTATTCTTTGAAATTATAGTGCCCTTATTCACTACATAGGTCAGACTCGACATTTGTGTTTTTTCGAAATTAGAAATATAAAAATTATTAGGTCGATACTATGACTGCATATATGCTTTCAGAGCGTAAGGTAACATTGAGATATTTGTTTTATTCAATTTTTAATCAGCTTATACTTGAAATATTAGTCGAAATTCCAAATATGTAATACCAAGCTGAGACTTGATTGTTAGATTTTTTTTCGATTAATTGACCTTTTCCCCGACACTATTGTATATATTATTACCTATATCACTCAAGTGATTTACACCGCCTTCTCTCCAACTTCTTTCTAGTCCTCTCCATCCAAAGGTTGCCTGGAAGAGATCGCTCTTAGCGATAAGGCCGCCCGTTGATACACTAGTTTTAATTGGTTTTGTACTAAATGTAATGTTTTCTGTGGTATACAATAAAGCGTTTTGTATTGTAATGTAACATGCCAAATTCGCCATCGTAGCCTGCCGCGACTATAAAATGTAAAAAATAGGTACTGAGTTTCTCTATGGTTAGAGAAGTCGGGAAAATCATTTATATTTATTTAATCTTGCCAGCATGGCATTCTCTACCAGTCCAACATTTTTTTTTCTATTATCGCGATTTATAGATAACCTATCTTTTTGAACTCTGAATGACTCAATATTCATTTCAATTGTAATTTACTGAAAAAAACTATCAAAGTTTGATTGATATAAGTGAGAAGGACGCCGCCTGGGCGCCCCCTTATATCCGAAGCCCGGGGCGGTCGAATTTCATTCAAATAATAAATGAATTGCAAACAAAAGCCTTGGTCATTACAGCTATTAATCTTGACTATTCCAAACTTTGAGCTTGTCCTTATCTAAAACGCATTTTGATTATTCGTTCTTTTGATAGTTTAGAGTGATGCATGGTAGCATTTTTAATCTAGTTAGTATCTATCTGTCTGTCTATCAACGGAACGCGAATCTCGGGAACGTGTGGAAGTATCGAATAAAAATTTAAACCATATACTTAGGTTTAAAGCCCCTTGAAGCCGTGATAAAATAAAACATCTAAGTAAATGCGAAAAAAAGATACGACCGCCTGTCCGTTTGTCTGTGAATACCTTTTATCTCGTGGAGGTATAGAACTATAAAAATTGGGAAGCAATATCGTCCTTAGCTGCAAGTAGAGGAGAAAATATTAAAACTATACATTTGTTACAATCATGGAGATAAAGCAACGATATGAGCGGTCATAATTGGCTGGGTGGCCAAATCTTTTTGTATTGTTTTTCAACTCGTATCAATATTTTCAGGAGAGAAATAGAAAAGCCATATATTTTTCATTAATCGCAAAATAATCAGTATTTATACAAGGAGCGAGGGTTCAAAGTATGGAAGTGAGTTTACCAAGGCATGACACCAGAAGTGTCATTTACGAAAGAGCTTTATTAGCTCAAACAGATTCTTAATTATTTTTATGATGTATATTATAGTTAGCGATTTATGACGAAGAATGGAAAATAAATAGCTGTTGTTTAGTAGGTAGGTATATTAATTTGGGTATGAACTGTTAGTTTACCCATAATTTCACTTAAAACACTTTGTACGGAACCCTCAGTGTGCGAATCCTTCTTGCTCTCCTTTATTATTAACATTTCACACTTTGAGGCGTTATCGGTGCTATCTGAGAAATGTTAACTATGAAACGGCTTATAGCACCAATTTGTTGATAGCACTGTGATAAGAGATGTAACAATTTTAATCTGAATTTTTATTAATATCTAATCGCCTACATTTCTATCTATATTGTGTTATATTTTATATGATTAGGATATTTAATTACTTTATGCTGTTATTTGGTATTGCTGCTAAACAAACTTATTATTCAATAGCAAATGGGTCGACAAAACTTTTTAAAGCAATAAAGTTTGACCTCAATAAGTAAATTATAAGGGATATTTTTAATTAGTAATAAGATCATCAAATAAACACATTTGTATAATTTTTATTTGAAGTTTTTTTGGCCTCAAACCTATTTTGTCTCAATTTTTAAAAAGTAATACGAGGCTCAATAAGGCTATTTTCTCTGGTTTTATATGTCCGTGCGCAAAATAATAATAATATGTCATTATACAAGTGAAAAATGCTCAACGGGTAACGATAAACACACGATCAAATAATTAACAACTTCTGTACCTGCGCGATTAAAAAGTTTGCAGTGTCATATTTAAAAAAAAAAAACAGAAATTAATGCATGAAAATACAACAGCATGTCGGCGATGGAAAGAAAATCTACAATTTTATAAAAATAGAACTCAAGAAAAAGAAAATAAAATGTTAAATCTAAATAAGGTTGATTTCATTTCAAGATTTCAACACGAATTAAATTTAAAAAAAAAAAACAAAATACACTGGTTGTGTGCCCCGCCCCATACACAACCCCAACCCAATGTATTTCGTTTTTTTTTATGCGAAGCACAATACGTTACCCCACCCCACCTAATGTTAAGTGTAAGTGGAGTCCAGTCATTCAGTCCAGCCAGTGAAGATAAATGATGTGGCAGAAGATGTGCCGCTCCAGCCATCCTCACCTTGTCTGTCTGAGTTTAACACCGCTACCGGAGCCCTTAAACTACCAATACACGCCAGCAGAAACACAAAACCACCAAAAGGTAGTGTTATTTTACTGTGGTCTTCTCTAAGGTGGAGGTTGCTTCCACAGATGGGCGCTTCAATTTGTCAATCAAGAAAATCCGCTGTGCCCTACCTTTTAAATGTTATGTTAAAATTTAAACGTAAAATATGTTTTTTTAAACCACTCACCTCCAATTAAAATCAACAGATAAATAATTGGACAGGCCAACGGCCGTTTCCACACTACACTGGGAATTAAAGAAGTTAATCAAAAGATAAAGGTAGATAGATATGTATGTAAAGATATTAGATTAAGATAGTATTTTTTTATAACAACCAAATGGGTGGCATACCGGATCTTTTATTTTGCATTTAATATTATTATGGAACTCGATGGCGCAGGCGGTTCTCGCGTTTGGTCTGCGATCGTGAAAGATTTTTGCAATGGTAGAGCATTGAATGGGTGACTAAAACCAATATCTCGAGCTTC